TGTGAAGATGGCGCTGTGCTGCAGGTACCTCGAAGACGAAGCTGGAGCAACGGCGCTGCAGGTAAGTATCCCTGGCCTCCGCCCAATCTCTCTCTCTCTAGTGCTACTCTAGCTATGGCGCCCAGCGCTGAAGACTACTAATAACGCTACTAGCGCCCAGCGCTGAAGACTAAGGCTAACGCTACTACTACTACTGCAGCGCTCCTCGAGAGTGCTGCTGCCGACTCCTGAAGACTACTGCCTCCTGCCTGCCCGTGAAGTGCATGGGAAGTCCCTATGTACTTCCTCGGCCTGCCTCCTGACTGCCTCCGACTGCCTGCAGTTGCAGGGCGGGCAGTCCAGGAGGCTGCTCTTGCCAATGCCCAACCGAGCCAGGGGCTGGTGCTGCAGCTGTCGTGGGAACAGGCCAAAAATAGTCGTTCCTAAAACCCTGGTTCGGTGCCTGAGTTTCAGTGCAGGTCAGTTTGATGACAGACCGAAAATGGCCCTTCGTTTCAGGCTAAAAAGGCTACTGCCATTTTTAGTCTGAAACGACACAGGGTCTGTAGGCCCCTGTTTTTCAGGCTTTCGAGCTGAACAGACACAGGGCCTGTAGGCCCTGGTTTTCAGGCTTTCAGCCTGAGGGACGCAGGGCCTGGAAAATGACCCTCGTGTGCAGGCGCAGCATGTAACACCACCATTCTCTGGAGGTGAGGTAACTGGTATGCAAGTCATTGTGGTGTGTGTTTGATCCATTGTGGCAAAGGCTGTGCTTTTCATTATTGCAGGCGCTGTTTGTCACTCAGCAAGCCTGGTAAGCGCAGGGATTGCCTACCTGCTGGTAGTAGAGTCAGTGAGGGACGACCGGTTTTGTGCCTGTTCTGTTGTTGGGGGAGCATGATTAGTCTCCCATCTGATCAACCATTATAGTCAAAGTCATTTTCAAAATCATCATCAGATTCCGGGTTCTGTCCATCATTCCCATTTTCATTCCAGTATCGGCATCAGTTTCCGATAACAGATCAATAATTGACGAGCACGGCACTTGCCTTGCTTGGGCACTTAGACTCACTGGCAGTTGTGTTTGTGACGGGTGCTCTTCTTGTAGAACTAGGAGGTTGACCGGGATCCTGTCCTCCAGCGTGGGTAGAGCTTGCACAAGCATCCCTTGTTCTTGCCCCATCTGGAGGAGGGTGCAGCAGCCTTTGCTGCCGTTGCCTCTGTTGATTCTGAATTTGCTCCTTCAGTTGTTCTAGTATGTGCAACACACCTAGCTCAGTTGGTACACCCATGAACTGTCGAAATACAAACCGAAAATCCAGCTGCACCTAGATGACCAGAATAAAATGAAATTCTGAACCTGGGGCCGGTCAGCTCAAGGCCCTCACCCTTTCAAAGAAAAAAAGGTAAAACAAAGAGTACCTGCTGCTGCCTATGTCTGTATTTTTGTTGTTGCTGTTGCAGCAGATGTTGGTCATGCTGCGTCATCTCCATTGGTGTTGCTGCTGGGCCACCTGATTTCGCTGCTCTTGCTGTTGTTTTGGGGTCTGCAGCACTTGCATTTGCTGCCAGTGGGCCTGTTCCCCCATCAACTGCGGCTTTTGCTGGTCATCCAGTCAAAACAGGTCATGTTGTCGTTGTGTGACATTTTGCTGTAGCTGCAGCAGCTTTTGCAGGTGCAAGTCATGTTCCAGAGACCTTTGCTGGCCTAGATCCTGTATTCATTCCAACTGTAGCTGCACTTCTTTTCCCAGCATCTGCTGTTGCTGTGCCTCAGATAGCCAGTGGAATAGGGTCCGTTGTTCAGGTGTCAGGGACTGGCACTGAACCTCCAGGTTCCTCTGTAGCTCCGACGGGCAAGGCTTGTTCGGTTGTTCCCTGTTGGGCGCTACATCAGAGTTCGGGCTGTTATTCCGCTGTTGTGCCAGTAGCATCTGTGCGCCTATTTTTTGAGAGCTTCGTGAGCCTGGTTCCCGGGACGGCAAGGACAAAGGCTTCCAACAATGCTAGCTGCCGATCCGTATTGGGAGAGAGTAAAAACTACTAAAAAGCCGCAGTTAGAACGATTTTTAGAACAACTGGACGCTCACACTGCGCTTAGCACACGCGCGATTGCACTTCGGATCTGGACCATACCACGTCACGGGTTGACGTGTGTTGTGGCCCGACCCCCTGGTTAGGGGGTTCCACGTGGAGCTCCGCAGCCGCCACGAGTTCGACACGTGGCACCTCGTGCTGATACAGACGGAGACGCAGTGGAGTATGCCTATGGTAGGATCGAAGTGTGTGAAGTCGATTTGCAATTTGGGTAGCTGCCGGGCAGGTGACACCAGGTGACTTGGGAAGGAGGTGACGTGGGGGAGATGTGCGTACACTACTATCAAAAAGGAGGGAGGAAGGCGCCAGACGGAGACGGACGCCAGGCCGATTAGAGCGAGGAACGTGCAGGATGTGAGTAGACTTCCACCCTTTTTGGCTCCGGACACAAGCAAGGAGACAGGGAAACTACATCAACGGAATAGAGACGAGGGGTGGGAACGGATCGACCGACGGGAGCAATCACAGCGACAAGAGTGCACGAGACGCGTGCGGGGAGGAAAACGCCAACGACAGTACACCTCATCACAACGACAGGACTGCACGAGACGCGTAAGGAGCGGAGCGCAGGGAGGAAAATGGCAACGACAGTAACATCTCAATCGCTTCTACACCCATCCCCCTGAACGGCACCCCCCAGTTCCCCGCCTACCCCCCCACTACCCCCCTCTCCTGGGCGTCCCCAAGCCAGTAAGAGCCGTCGTCAAGGAATTACCAATGAAACTCAGGAATCCAAAATGAACGGAAAATTGTATGCCTAAACAATACACATGCACATACATACCGCACAGCACACGCACACCGTACAATCAAAACACAAGCACAACGAAGTACACATACGCACACACGCACCGCACAATCAAAGCACAATCAAAGCTCACGCACAGCGAAATACACATACGCTGCACAGCTAAGGAGTGCTCGATGGACCAGAGTCACAGAAGACAGAGGGGTTCGAGCCCCCTTATTTTTTACCAAGGGGTCATAAGGCATGACCCGATCAGACAGCTGGCGGCCTCAACGTACGGAAGACCGGTGACCGGAAGACCCCCCCCCTCTGGACCAGGCCACCCCCTGCACCTGGACACATATCGATCGGACCAGCATCGATGGCCGAGTCTGGCCGATGCCTCCATCGGCCACAAAATAACGCCCACCCTTGGTAAGCCGCAACCGTCCTGATCAGAAAGAGGGCACGATGGAAACCGGATCTTCATCACACTGCCTCCCCTCCGAGCAGATGGAGGCAAGCAGCAAGGAGGGCGTCAAGACGCCCGCGGAAGAGGGGAAAGGTAACGAGGTGGAGATGGAGGAAGAGAGCGGGAGTGAGGGGGAGGAAGATGAAAACGTGGAGGAAGATGAAGAAATGTTAACTGAAGAAGAAACAATCCTAGAAAAAAGGAAGCAAGAACAGACTGTTGGAGCGGAACAAAAAGGAAAAAAAGGGGAGTCGAAGCCCACATGGGCTCAACGTGTCATGACCACAATCCAAGAAAAATCTCTCGACATTCAACGTGCCGCTCAAGACACACAACAAGGTAAGGAGGAGACCCTGAAAGTGCCCCTCTGCAACCTCTCGTCGGCACGGGCATATTTATTGACTCTCTTCCTCCTCCCCTCTCAGAACCATGTAGTGGATCAAGGAGGGAGGAAGACAATGATGAAGGCATATCCCCCGGACAAATTAGAGGCAAGAGACAAAACCTACATCCAACAAGCAAGTAACTGGCTTTTCCTCGGTGATGTGGCACATAAATCAGTCAACGATAAGATCAAATGGATACATAAACGGTTGGAGGAAATGAAAGGCAACCCCGAGGCGGTTCATGAATTTTTCTTGATCCAGCCGCTCTCCTCCACGGTTTTCACTGTCTTATGCCTCTTCACAGAAGATAAACAGAAG